AAAGAAAAACCAAGGGGAAAAAAAAATCTGAGTAAATTTATGTAAATTCATGAGCAGTTAAGTTCAAAGTTTTAAGATCCTCTACCCAGAAGAAATAGTTTCTATTTTGTGTACCTTTTCTGAAAAAATAATCAAAAGTTATATTGCCAAATATTGATGCTGCCTTAAGTGTATATGGTTCTTTAAAAATATAGAGTGTGACTGCATGTATCATTTTATTTGCATCACACAACCCTATGAGGAGTGACATCTTAATAAGTACTCAACTTTTTTAACTGAAAAGGGATTATTTATCACTCATTTCTATATATTGATCAAAACCTTGTTTTAGTAGGCACTGTACTGGGCATTGAGTATGCAAAAAGAAATAATAATTCAGTATTAAAGGATACAGTAAATAGATGCACAACATGGCATGGAACACAGGGAATATCTGAACCTGGTCTTTGTCAGATTAAAAATAAAGCCTGTGCTTATTGTGAGATAATGAGAATTGCATGACAAGCTCCCTAGTTTTGGAAATGGTTGGAACTTTGGTCTAAGAATATATAGAGAGTTATTTTTTAAATACAGTGTAATTTTTAAAGCATGTCATAAATTCAAAACTTCCTAAAATTGTAATGATAGTCAATAAGATTCACCAGGTAACAGAATCTAGAGAAAAGTAAGTTTATTATAGAGGAGGCATCTAATTTTTGAGGCCATTTGTTAAAGTGTCGAGTATATTGAGCTTTGTTTTGATATGATAATATAAATAAGGTTCATAATCATTTGTCTAAGGACAAAGATTTAAAATGGAAGCGGCAAGTTGTAATTATACATTCAAAGTCCATATATTCGAGTGTACTTTTAGATGCTCAAGTTATTTCAAAACAAAGTAATAATATCAAAGACTAAAGTGAGAAAATATTAGATACCATTTAAAACCCCGATACTGATGAACATTTCAAAGCCCTGACCTGACACTGTTCATCTAAAATTGTTACACTTTTAATTTTAAAGCAAATAGCAAGAAATGGCACTTTAGAAACTTAATTAGGTTTGTAGTTTAATTCTTCAGATCTTTTGCTTTCATTTTCTCAATCGAACAAAGATCAACCTTAAGTGTTAAAAGAAAAAAAATAATAGGTAGGATAAGATCATTCTTAGTTTTTTATTTGTTTAAGAATGTTTACTAAATGTTCCTGGGAAATAAACGGTAAGATTTTGGAAGACAAGGATCCCTAAAGGACCTGATCGCTTGAGCTCTTTTAAAACATCATTGTAGATTATTGTCATACTAAAAGATTGATTCATGGAATTTTGATTAATGGAACATTCTCTAATTGTATTTTTTATTTTAAGGGGTGGCACACAAAGTAATATCAGGAATGTTTTAAATCTAATTTCTTGAGTGCTGCCTACGATTTTTGCAAAAATTTTTACTAATTTGCAGTGTTCTGAAACACAAAATTCTCCTACACTATTTAACAAAACAGGCTTGTTCAGAAGATTTTTCAAAAAGAGGTTATAATAAAAATAAATAAAAAATAATAAAAAAATAAAGAAGAATAAAAATCTCCTTCCAAAAAATAACCAGAGCAATGACTCAGAAAGTCTACTTGGATTTTTTTTCTCCTCCATTTAATGTTACATAAGTGAGTACTTTCAGAATAACACTTAGCTTATGATCATTAGAAAACCTACATGATTGGTCAGTATGTTTTATATGCATACGTGTAGAGAATAAAAAGCTAGAGAAAATTGGAAATACTCTTGCTCTCCCCAAAATCAACACAAGAGTCTATGCCATTGAGTACTGCAAGAGTGTTAACCTGTCAGACCATAAGTCTGAAAAGCCTATTAGAGAAGAAGTAACCAAACTTAGATAAAACAGTAGACTCAGTCAAACTGTTTCTAAAAAATAGGTTTATAACTTGGAGTGGAAAAAAGTAGAGTCTAAGAATTCTATAGTCAACCAATTGGTCATTAATGTTTTAAATAAGCTGGAAGACAATTTACAATCATAAAGGCTCAGTGCATACACTTTTGTATTCAGAAATGCAGAAAGATCTACTCAGAAGAGATTAAATCAGTTCCTATGTCTAGCTGGAATTCATTATACTGATGAAGAAATTAAATCACATAAATATAAGCACATTTCATCTATCTATCTATTTATATACTATATGTACAATTTTTTCTTCAAAAAGAATTACCCTCAAACTGTGGAAAATTAATGATGTTTATCACCTTTAATAAATATAAATCAATAGTCATGAAAAAATTTAAAAGAAACTCCAATGATCTAAAATTGATATTATTATAGAAATGCCTCACATCATGCATAAAAATCAGAGCTGTGTTTCAGCCAATGCACCGCTTTGAAAATTTTTGATAATCTTTTAGGAGTTGAGAGTGATGGCCCTGAGGATATGTACAAAAACTGAAATACACGATTATAAACAAAAAAAGATATATAATATATAAAAAGCTATATATATATATATAAAACTACATATAAAACTATACATATAGTTTATTTTATACATATATATCACATACATATATCCAGGAAATGTACTGGTCTAAATACAGTGAGTACTTGTGACTTCTAGTCCGTTCATCTTTGGACATAAAAATAATGAACCTTTATCATTCTATTGTAGCCTGGTTGCATAGATTATAGGTGTAGCCTTGTGAACAGGAGAAAGTCAATGAGTTAGCATATGTCAAATTTACTCCTAAAAATATTCAATGTTTCAAAACCAGGATTTAAATATCAACAACCAAGGTAATATCATGAGCCTAATAGGAACACTACCAAGTGTTTTATTAAAGAGCTATGTTGTAAGAATAAACAAAGCAAAGCTGGAAATCATAAATCACAAATTATGTGTGTGGATTCTATAAGAATTGGACTCTAATCAGAGGATCTATACTCACAGAAATGCCAGGCTTGGCACCTTGGCAAAACTATTTTTTTATTAATTAATAAAAATAAAATCTTAAATCATATGTACATAGTTTTTAATAATTTCCCACTTAAACCAATTAGACTACAAAACTACTACTTCCAAAAAAGATGAGGGCTTTTGTGGAAGTCTCTGAATTTATAAAATCACAAATGTAATGTTAGGTTTACTTAAATTTTTTTCTCTTGAATGAGTTTGTATCATACCTATTTTTAATTTAAATTTATGAATTTAAAAATGGTCACATAAGCTACCAACTGCAAAGACCATTACTCCATCACAGTATGCTTTGTTGAAATTGTCTTTAAGATCATTCCGATTTGTAGCATTTGCCAATTACCATGGTATAAATGCAAAAAAAAGGGTATGAAAACTTATATTTAAATTATTCAACTATCTTTCTCAAATTATATCAGATACAAATCTTTTTGCACATTTTATTTTAAAACAAAACAGCATATTCATGTCTTTGTGGAGTATGCTATATAAAAGCAATCCTTAAAAATGTGTCTCAATTCCTGTATTTAACTAGACTGCGATAACAAAAGAGTTGCATTGGGAATGATAAGATTACAGTCAGAAAATTCATACAGAGCCAGTGATGTGCTCATAATTGTTATATCTGATCTATATGGCTTAGTCCTTCATTTAGCTACCTGGCTAGCTCTACTAGTTTTCCCTGTTTTATGACACCATTAGAATGTTTTTAATAACATGCTTTCAGGTACATATTTGGTGATATCCTGGTAAATTGGCATTCTGCAAACTAACCACCAAATAAACAAATAAAAGTGGCCTAATTTTTAGCATTTGTCTATTTCCATGTTGTAAATCCTCTTACTATGGCCAATTCAAACTATCAACGTGATGGCGCTGAGGGCTAAATGGGGAAAAGCTGTGCTCAGCGTATCTTAGTGAGCTGGTTCCAGCTTGTTCCAGGAGAACATGGTGATGAATAAATATTTCCTCAAGTTTGTGTTTATTTTAATAGTGTATCAAAATATCCAGGGACTTTTTTCGTAGGTTCCAATACATTTAATTAAAGGCAAGGACAATGAATAATTTTAATATAATTAAAAGTTTTAAGCAATAGCAGGCAACACTTTATTAAACTATGAAATGCTAGAAAAAGACTTTCAAATATGTATTTAATTTAGAGTAAAAATAGAAAGATAGGTTGAGGCTACTTTATGATAAAAATATTCATTATAAGCAGCATCACCGAAAACTTGCAAACTATATGTTAGAGTTTGGAAAATGCAAATAACTGCATCACATACTTAATAAATGAAAAATAGCATTATGCAGTTTGAGAACCAAGCTGTAACATTTTCCTGAAAGGAACTGATCAATTATAAATTTTATGGGCCATTGGATACATTTTCAAAGTTCATTTTAAAAAAATGCTTATGAGGCAAAGAGGTGAATGGTATCTAAAGTAGACAGTACCTAGCACAGAAGTTGGCACACTTTTTCTGTAAAGGGACAGCATATATTTTAGGCTTTGTAAACCATACAGTCCCTCTTGTAAATACAGTTCTGCTACTGTCGTGGAAAAAAAGCTCCTGTTCAATATGCAAATTAATGATCCTGGCTGTGCTTCAATAAAACAACTTTTAGGGAAACATGCAGCAGATGGATTGGGCCCATGGGTCGTCCAGTTTGCTGACCTGGCTTTAGCATGTACTGAATCTGAGATTTTCATGGATCTGATTTCAATATAATTTTTGTTGGTATATGCCTCCTATAACCAAAGTGTTTTTTCAAAATAATATTGCTCCCATGAGTAAAACATCTTGACCAATTACTGTTTCTTAAACTAGATATTCCCATAAAAAACCAGCTGCCAAAAAGACAATGCAATTGAAAATAAAATGGATCTAGTTGTGGACATATCTTATTTTACATTACCATACCAAAATTTCACAAATAACCACAAGAAAAGGTTTTCCTGGATAGTAAAAGAAGAGAAAAATTGTATATTAAATGAATATATATTTCATATGAGTTCATTTACTGTAATTACTTTGAAATCCTTATTCTTACCTTCCATAAGCTTTCCTGTCTGTTCTGCACTTCCCCCAGGAAGAATCTTGGCAATATAGGCTCCAATTTCTCCGCTATGTCCAGGGATTTCTTTACCACCCACAATTCTAATTCCTAATCCATTACCTGTGTTGAAAAATTAACAAATTATTATTAATAATTTAAGAACGGACAACAGTTATCACAAGTTATAGGGTACACAAAAAGTGGGATTTGGTGCCCAAAAGTTGAATACAACATGCATACTGGAACTGGACACCGATAACAAAGGGGTGTGACTCTGATTACAATAATGGCTTATATGAAATAGTTAGGATCAATAATGATTAACTTGATATTAACAAATAATTTTTAAATTTAGACATATTTAGTAATATACTAAGACTTTTGACAAGGTTTTTTGTAAAAATTTTATAAGAGAATATTCCCAGTATAAGAACCTCCAGAGCATACAATTTACTTAGAAAAATGAGGAACATTTTGCTTACAAAAGGTAGTAATGGCTATCATAAATTGAGAAGTCATAATCCAAACATATAAATGATGGTAATTGATAAAGTAAAAACATGGTCATAGCATATGAATTATTATTCACTTTTCAGTCTTAACTCATCAGCTAATATTGTTTGTATGTTAACATGGCACTTACCACAAGGCACAATAAAATTATTTATTTTGACTAATGAACAACTGGGTAAACTGTTTTTTACTTCATGAAACAGATTTTTCTGTAATTAGTCATGTGAGAAAAGATGGAGAATAATTACAAGAAATATAATTGAGACACAAATGAATTGTTGGTATTTTAAGTTTTTTTTAAAATCAGCTAAAAATGAGTAAGTGTACACAGCACTAGGTATATTTGTGTTACAAATGCCAAGGAAATTTTAAAATAAAAGTACTGAAAAAAAAAAGCAGAATTCTTCTCCTTTACTGAAGATACAATTAATTATCTCTTTAAATTAAAATGCATTTCATTTAGTGATTGAAGTACCATTTTCAACTTTTTCAAAATTTCCACATTTTAAAAGCCAGCTCCCTTCCAAATCCTGTTCCCTTTTCCTTTTCCTCTTCAAAAGCAATTGCTGGAGTCAGCATCAACACAGTCCAAACATTTAACAAGCAGCAGCACTGAATTAGAGAACCTTTCTGTCATTTATCCAGGAGGGATGTATTTTGGTAAAATATGGTTTCTTATTTCCAAGAGGTACTTCCAAATGAACTCCCTTCTTTCCTTCCTCTCTTCCTCCTTTTCTTTCATTCTCCTTCTTTGTTTTCCCCCTCTTTTCTCCCTCTAATTCTCTGCTACCCATTTCCCCTCTCTTCTTTTTCACCAGGATAAGCCTTCTGAAGGTGTAGTCTCAAAACAAAAAACAAAAACAAATTAGCTGTATGCTTCTAAATTCCTGCTGTTGTCAAGGGGTCAGAGTTAAATAACATACTATCTCTTTCTGGGCCCACTGTGGAGCTTTTCTGTCACAAGTTTCTCGGTCCAGTTTTACTCTTCTTGCAGAGATTAATTTAGGATACAGATTAAACATAACTGAATGAAGGCAGAACATCATCTAGTATATGACTTAGTCTCAACTAAGTCTGGGTAGAGACAGTTGAGCTCTTAGACATTAGCCTTTAATAATTCACCAGGAATGATTCTACCGTAAAACATCAGATATGATAAAGGGTAACAGGGGAAGAAAAGTTTTAGCCAGTCATCATTCAATTAGTTTAGCCTATTTTTTTAGTGTACTAAAGGTATTTTAAAAATTACAAAATGAGGATTTTAAAATAGCTGGCCATAATTAAAGGCTTATCCAATGGAATCTACCTGCAAAGAATAAAAATAGATTCTTAATCAAAGATTTGATTTCACTCACAAGCTGTAATTCATCACTTGTTAAAGATTTTATAAAATCCCAGAGATATTAAATTTCTAATGTAGTCAGTATGAATCATAAGACATGGTCAGTCTGAAATCTCAAAAGATGATTTATAGGATTTCCTTAGTATAAAGGTATATGTTCAAGATCATGCTTTAAATCAAAATTTATCATAATTTATGCTAGACTGTAGAGAAGAATACAGTAGCATGCTCAGGAAGTTGGTCTTATTTATTTTTCAGCTTAAAAATTAGAATATAAATGTAGTTCATGAAAAATAATTTCAGCACAATATATTATATGGTGCAGCCTTATGCTTAGAATCAACAAATAGAATTGTTATACCCTGTAAAAGTATAGCTAAAAAATTAGTTGTACAGCTTCAAAATCTATCAATTAGAGTAAACAATTTTTTTTTAAATTTGGTTATAATTTCATTCTGTAGATGGCAATGTCTCAAGGGTTAAGTTGCTGGGTCTTTAGTGCCATTTGCTTTTTGGTGACTGAGCACACGCTAAAACCCTGTAGTAAAGATAAATGATAAGAAACTACAATTATGGGCCAGCCAAGTGGCATGTTGGTTAGGAGTTGGCTTGGGACGCCAGCTCTGAGCAGCAGGGCTCCGGTTAGGATCCCACATGAGGGCCAGTGACGCTGCACCCTCTACAGCTAAGATGATGAACAACAGTTCGACCTGGAGCTGGGCTGCTGTGAGTCGCCAGTGAAGGTGTAGGCTGAAGTGCGGCTGCAGTGGGCTGCCATAAGCTACCATGAGTGGCCGTCTAATGGCCGGTGACCAATCTGCCTCAGCCGGGAAGAGCGCAATGATAATACCAACATGGGCCATTGAAGCAACGTCCTCCACAACTAGACTGAAGAACAAAAGGACAGCAACTTGTCTGTTCCCCTTCTCCAATTCCCCAATCTTTAAACAAACAAACAAACAAACAAACAAACAAACAAACAAACAAACAAACAAAACACAGTTCCCTCCAAAGGGCAGCTCCCAACTTCATCAAAATACCTGCACCATTGCTGCTCATGGCCTCCTTGTGCTCCTAAATAAGTTTGCGCTTCTCTCCTTTCTCCTCCACCCAGTATTTGCTCAGAACGACCAAGTTAGAGGTAACTTGGCACTCGGGGTAGGAATTATGATCTTGTTCTCAAATTGCTTAGCACTCCTCCACGTGCGAATGCACGTGAGACAGTAGGTGTGGCTGCAGTTGGAGAGGATCTGAACGTGGTGCTCACTGGGGTGGCGTTCTCATGGACCACCTCCACGCACCCCTCAAATACCACATCTTTACTGGGCTGGACAGCAGCTGAGAGCTCCACGTCCTCCTCACCGGCTTCGATGCAAGATTTGATATGTTGTGGTCTCTGGGCAGGCCCACCGGACAGAGTAGAGGGCTTGCAGTCCACACACAGGCATCTCCATGGAGATACACAGAGTTCTCCCATATCTCCCACTGCAGCAGAGGGGCAAAGCTGCTTCTTTGTTTCCACTGCAGTTTGCTCCTGGTCTGCTTCTTCCTTGTCACTGAGCCCTTCAGGGATGCTTCAGTGCAGGAAGGGCAGTCGGGCCCAGGAGGGATGCCCAGGAACAAACTCAATGGCATTCACCCAGTTGCCAAGTTTGAATTTCCTGACTCAGCCTCACCCGCATTCATTTCAACAATTGGTCCAACTGCTGATGAGAAATGTGAGGAAGCAGCAGGGATGGTTTTCCAGTTAGAACTGTAGCAGTTGGTTCTTCCTGTTTCAATGGCTTGCTATGTTCATATGTGCAGCGATCTCCATAAATACAGTC